CTCTTTTATAGGAAGTAGGATTTTAGTACTATTCGGATTTTTTTTGTAGTTTTTTAGTTTTATTTGGATTTTTATGCAGAAATAGGATTTCAATTTGATTATGATTCGTTTTAAAGGTTTGAAAACTTAAAACCATTTTTGAATAATAATATTTCAATTTCTTTGTTATTGGATGCATTTCAATAATTCTTACGTACATTCGAGCGAAATTCAAGCAACAATCGTTCACGTGTTACGCATTACGCACAAAAACTTCTAGTATTATTCATGTTTTCATCCTACGTAAAAGAAGTTCAATAATGATGGCTTGGTCTACTGCTTTTGTTGTTACAAATGTATAAATCGATGGGTTTTGCTCATATAATGTGACGTCCTAAACCTTAGCAACTTGAATGCCACTAACATAAATCTTATCGAAACATGATTTGATAAGTCATTTAAGCCCTTAGAGATTAGATGAAGTGTATGTCAGTGGCACTTACATTCTTGCTTGAAAGTACTATTTACAAATTGGATTCTTCAATTATTTTCTCCTAACAAGTAGCAAAGAGAATGCTTTAGCCTCCATTTGGAAGAATCTATAAATAAATAGAAATGAGTGGTGGATAAGTAAATAGTACTAGCGAATTAATTAGAATGTGTGGTTAAAAATAAGGTTTAACCAATTTATAAATCTGCCATATAATATTTCATGACACACAATTAATTTGACCATTTTTTGAATTGAAACTTTATTTGTATACAAATAAATTAAATAGAACCATGAAATATATGTAGATAATAAAAAAAATATTAATAACAAGAATTGGTAGATTGATGTATAATTTATAATATATAAAATATCATATCAAGTGAGAATCATTTTTTGAATCTACTACAATTCGACTATTTCAATACTACTTTACTTTTCGTTTTTCAATATATAATAGATATTACAAAATCATTGTTATGTATGAATTTCGTGTTATTAATTCTCAATTAATTAACATTTACATTAGTTTAGACTCGATGAATCTCGAGTTGCTATAGATAAATTTATTTATATTCATGTATTTAGAAATCTAAATGAGTGTTTAAATTCATATATTAACAATTAATTCTTATGTGCCAAATATAGTATAAAAATGTTACTCATTTATAATATTTCATCATCACAAATAATTTGAATAATAGAAGTTGAGTTTTGATAGTACAATTTTTTTCTCATAAATTTCTATCTCAATTTTATTTCCTTTAGTTCGTTTGAGACTCATGAAATCCACTCAATAAATTGGTATCAAATATTGTTTTTACAGCAGTTATAAAATATTTCAAAATAATGTGCAATGTATATTCAACTTTGACTAGTTATCAATAAAATATTTTTTTTATCATTTTTTATGCTTTACATTATATTTCGAATATTTTGTTTGATGTAAATTTTTTAGCAAATATCGTTGATGAATGTTAGTAAGTCATGTGAAACGTGGGATTAAAAAATTGATAAAAATTATGAGTAAAATAAAATGTATAATTAATTAAAAAAAAAATTGACCAACTCTTAACAAAAAGTAACTTGATCAAACAAGTCCTAAATTTCACATTCTAAAATTCATCTTCTCCTAATTAATAATTGTTGTTTTCGATTGTGTTATATGTACATCAAAACTTATAGATTGATTTACAAACACATAATATTTTGAGATATGATTGGATCAAAATCTTTTCAATAAAAAAAAAAAGACTTCTCAACAATTTTTTTATACCTCATCAATATGTAAAACTATATAATTCTTTAAAGTATTTCCAAGAGACTCTATTTTTAAAGAGTATATTCTATCATTGGGGGAGTATATATAAATTTATAGAGTTAAAATTTTGAAACACTCCAACAAACTATTTATATTTAACATTTAATTTTAATACTCTCAAAAAATATTTATAAATTTTTTATTTTTCATTTTAACTAGTTTTTCTTTAAATTNTATTTATAAATTTTTTATTTTTCATTTTAACTAGTTTTTCTTTAAATTATTTTATTGTTTTCCTATATTGAAAATTAAAATAATTTAAATGCATTTAATTATACAGAGTGAGGAGAGCCAAACCTACTATCTAAATTAAAATATTAATTTAAAGAGTTTATTGGAGCGTAATTTTAAATGTTGACTCTTTAAAATAGAGAGAATATCATATTTAAAGAGTTTCTTGAAGATGCTTTTATGTGCCATTATTCTTGTTTTTTTGGTAACTCTAGCTGACTCACTTCTTATTAAAAAAATAAATTAATTAAAGCTACACCCTTGTTTGTTGATGGGGGAAGAAAATCAAATTTATAGTAGTTGAAATTTGTGAATCCATGAAATATGTAATTAAAATTAATTATGGACTTTAATTTAAATTAAAATTTAGATTTTAATTTTAATTTGATGGAGATTAAAATTGATTAAAATTAAATTTTTAACAAATTTTGATAAAATATATGATTAAAATTAATTGTTGATATTGATTTAAATTAAAATATGACTCTAAGCTATATATGAATTTTTTTTTCTTTTCGTTTTTTTAATTCTTTTAATTTTATTCAGAATTTACACGCAAATCCAAGCTTATCCACTTCACAGCACCGGCGACACCAGTACACAACTTAAGTGCCACTAAAAAATAGACAGAACGGAGGCGGAGGTGGCAGAGGCAGCGGAGAGCAACGTTTGAAGTTGTGAAATCAGGGTTGGCCTGCCATACTCTCTTGTAATTGTAAGTTTCCAAATTTACAATTTCAATTTCCGTAAAATAGTTTGTCAAAATTGTTTCTCTTGAAGCAAATAAATACAGAAAAATAAAGCCATGGAATCAACGGCCTTGCTAAATACTTTCCCCACTTTTAAAAGACCACCTTGCAAAGGAATTTCCATAAAAACTGCCATGCCCATGTTGAATCCAAAGATTCATCTGGGCTCCCATTTTCGAAAGCATTGTTGCACAAGTATTGGGCGAAATTACAACAAATACATGGGTTCTGTAGCTATTAAAACTCCGGATAATGAAATTGACAACGTTGAGGACGCGCAAGGGGAAAAGGGGTTTAGTTCTAGTACCAGTAGTGTGGATTGGAAGGCAGAGTTTCTAGGGGAGATAGACCCATATGGATATTTGCCCCCTAAGAAGAGGAAAAAGGAACCCAAGTCGAGGTTGTTAGAAGAATCTGATAAAATGGAATGGTGTGTGAGAGCTAGGAAGATTGCTTTGAAATCTATTGAGGCTAGAGGATTAACTGCTAAAATGGAAAGGGTAGTTATCGGTGATAGAAAGAAGAAGAAGAAAAAAAAGAGCCCCAAGAAACCCAAGATTGATAAAATCAATCCATTAGGATCTGATATAGAAGAAGAGGATGAGGGTTCTGATTCTGAAGGGGCAGAGTTTGATGTGGGTGATATTGATTCTTTGGACATGGCTGATCATCTTAGGAGATCAGTGGGCATGCTTGCAGGTGGAATGTTTGAAGAAAGAAAGGGGAAAACAATGGAAACATTTGTTCAGAGGCTTTCACAATTTTCGGGGCCTTCTGACCGTAGGAAAGAAATTAATCTGAATAAAGCAATTGTTGAAGCGCAGACTGCCGAGGAAGTTTTGGAGGTTACAGCTGAGATAATCTTGGCTGTTGCAAAAGGACTTAACCCTTCACCTCTTTCACCTTTGAATTTAGCCACGGCATTACATAGGATTGCCAAGAACATGGAGAAAGTATCGATGATGAGAACACGGAGGTTGGCATTTGCTCGGCGGAGAGAGATGTGCATGCTTGTAGGGATGGCGATGACTGCCTTGCCTGAGTGCTCAGCACAAGGAGTTTCAAATATTGCTTGGGCATTGTCAAAGATTGGTGGTGAGCTTCTTTATACGTCAGAAATGGACAGGGTCGCAGAGGTGGCCTTGACTAAGGTTGCCGAGTTCAATTCACAAAATGTTGCCAACATTGCAGGTGCTTTTGCTTCAATGCATCACTCTGCTCCGGATCTCTTTTCAGAATTATCAAAAAGGGCCTCAGATATAATTCTCACTTTTCAGCCACAGGAAATTGCTCAGGTGTTGTGGTCTTTTGCCTCTCTTTATGAGCCTGCTGACTCTTTGCTGGAGTCTCTTGATAATGCTTTTGCGGAGATGAAGCAATTTAAGTGTTGCATAGTCAGTGAAACATCTAATTTTGGTGAAGGAAGAGCAGCAGGGAGTAGTGGAAATGTTGAGTCTGAAGAACTTTTAGGGCATCATGTTCTTGAGTTTAATAGAGATCAGCTGGGGAATATATCTTGGTCATATGCTGTTCTTGGGCAAATGAGTCGAGTTTTCTTTTTCCATGTGTGGCGAACTCTAAGCCATTTTGAGGAGCAACAGATTTCTGAGCAGTATCGGGAAGATATTATGTTTGCTTCTCAGCTTCATCTAGTGAATCAATGTCTCATGCTAGAATATCCGCATCTTCAGTTATCTCTTCCAAGTGTGCTGGAAGAGAAAATTGCTCGGGCTGGAAAAACTAAGAGATTTAATCAAAAGGTGACTTCCTCATTTCAGAAGGAGGTGGCCCGTCTTCTTGTTAGCACTGGCTTAGATTGGGTCAAAGAATACACTGTAGAGGGCTACACTTTGGATGCAGCCTTGGTTGATCGGAAAATTGCTATGGAAATCGATGGGCCGACTCATTTCTCGAGAAATTCTGGTGTGTATCATCATATTAAAGTGCAGAAAACCCTTTTGGAACTCATGTACAGCAATATTGCCCCTATACGTTTACTCATTATTTTATTATTTATTCACAGGGGTTCCACTGGGGCATACCATGCTAAAACGCCGTTACATTACTGCAGCTGGGTGGAATCTTGTCACCGTGTCTCATCAAGAGGTAAATTCTCTAGTCTATTCTGTGTCACCTACTCACCTCTCAGAACAACGTTATTCAGCCTGAGGATGAGTTGGCATTGTCAGTACTTGAACAAATTAACCAGCCCCCCTGAACCCACCGCCCTTCAACTGATGTTGAAAACCCGGTTCCTGAGTGATGCTAAAATCATGACTCCTTGGTTAATGAGATGTTTTAACTGGTCAATGTATTAACTATGAATGGTTGGCATATCGTTGTATGAAAAGGAGGATTGTCACATACTAGTTATTTAATACAATCTTATTGGACTAAAAAGTCAAACAACTCACCTTGCAGTGGTGAGATCTTCCTAGAAGTCTGACTGATATTGCCTACTAGTAGCAAGATGCTGTATCGAAATTCTAACCTAAAAATCTCAAGTTTCTTTAACACCAATACCTTGCTACTAACACCAATATGTTTCCGCTAAAGCAACAATACCTAAAAAATAGTGACATATTGGTGTTCAAGAAACAAGATTTTAGTATTTTTATATAAATTGCCCCCTGTTTCATCTTCCTGCTCCTACATTTGAAAGTAAATTATTATTTTACGTTTGATCAGCATTCCCATTCTTAACTAAATTCCTGTTACAACACTCCCACTCCTGCTGTGCTTGACTTCTATTAAGGAAAACTAAAACACAAAATCAATTTAAAAGCTCGATAAAATGATATAACCAAAAATAGGAATGTAAAAATAATTGGTGCTCTTAAATAGCACAACAGTGAGCAAATTATCTACCCATATTTTAACCTTTAAATTGTGGGCATATTTGGGTCAAAATGCACTATATTCTTAAGCTAGCATTAGGGAATGTTTTTTTTTTAACAATTTTAAATCTTTGATCTAAGCTAACAAAGTATAGTGATCTTACTCTATTACCACTATGAACCTTCAATTACGATTACTTCCATGGTTCTCAAATTTCCACTGGCTGTTACAATAATTTGTCAGCATGAATCAAGCCCATAATTTCCTGTGAAAATGTTCTTAATATGTTCTTTATGCTACATATGATAGCCAAAATAGCATACATCGACTAGACTTTATATTATTTGAAGTAACAAAGCCGCGTGCTTCCCAAGAACATATTATGTAGAGAATTAGTCAAGAAACCCTCTCTTTGACTAGGAATTGAGGCACGTTGTTGGGATTCCTGTTTCTATTTCTCAATGAATGAACACATGTTATCACAGTATTTAATTTCTTAGTCTGTGAAGGTAAACTCTTCTCTACATTTTGTATCTTCTTTATCCACGGTATTTAAATGAATATATGTGGCCCTCTTCTAACAACTCAGGTTTTTGGATGAGATGGTTAATATAGTATCAGAATCACACAAAAATGAACTCAGTCAGCACATGAGGGTTTAGGGTCGTGTTGAAGACAAAATTTAAATGAATATGTGTGGCCTCTCTTTTAACAGCTTAAGCTTTTTAGATGAGATGGTTAACAAGGGATAATATTGAGTTAATGCTTATATTGCTGAACTCCTTGAAACATAATTATTGTTCTATGATTTACTAGGGCGACTATTAAGAGAGTCCAACATCAAAATCAAACATACACCCTCTTCATTTTCTAGGCGAAAGCTGCATAGATCTGTTCAACTCCTCTTATTTTCTCATTGTTAATTGTCTATCACGTACCCATGATATCTTTAGTATTTCTTGCGTCTTGTGGCATCTGTTGGGAATTGAGACACGCACATATTAACAAAATTCCTGTTTTAACACTCTAGCTCCTGCTTTACCTAACTTCCAGGGAAAACTAAATTACAAAATCAATTAAAAGCTCAATGAAATGACATTACCAAAAATATGAATGTAAAAGTAATTGGTGCACTTAAATAGCATAAAGGACGTCAAATTATCAAGCCATATTTTAGTCCTTAAACTGCAGGCATATTTGGGTCAACTATCTTAAGCTAGCATTAGGAAATGTTTTTTAACTCACTGCTGGAAGGTACCAATTTTAAATCTCTGCTACAATCAAACACATTTTTTATAGTGATGTTACGTTATAACCACTATGAACCTTCAACTATGACTGCTTCCATGGTTCTCAAATTTTAGCTGTCTGTTACAATGCTTTGTCAACATAAATTAATCGCAAAGTTTCCTGTAAAAATGTTCATATTTATCTGTTCTGTATACTCCATATGACAGCCAAAAGTATCATACATTGACTAGACTTTACCATCATTAGAAGTAACAAAGCCTGTGTCTTTCCCAAGAACATTTTATGTGGAGAATCTGAGTATATGTTTGGGAAGCGTTTATAAATAGTAGTGTTCATAAATAGATAGAAATGAGTGGCGGGGAAGTAGATAGTACTTGTGGATTATGTGTGGATAAAAATCGATTTGACCAAAAGTGTTTATAAACACTTCACATACTCGGAGTCAAGAAACCCTCTCCTTGACTAGGAATTGAGGCACCGTTGGGGTTCGTGTTCCAAATTCTATATGAACACATTTTACCACAATATTTAATTTCTGAGTCTGTGAAGGCAAACTCTTCTCTACTTTTTGTATCTTCCTTTTACACATTAGTAACATTTTGCTCGTGGAGAAGTGGTTTATAGTTGAGTTGAGAAAGACTCTTTAGACAAAATGTTGGGTTTTGGGGATGTTGAGGACGAAGTTAAATCTTAAACAACTCAAACTTTTGGATGAGATAGTTAACTTGGTATCAAAGACATACAAAATACTCGATTCAACTCTTACTGCCATCTATTTATAAAAAATTGTTCACATGTTTGGAGTAAGCCCTTGTTTGTTTTTGTTAAAAAATCAAATTTTTAGTAGCTTTTAGATGAGATGGTTAACAATGGATGATATTGAGTTAACTGGAGCAGAAGCTGCCGGTTATATTGCTTAACTCCTTGGAAACATGATCATTGTTCTATGATTTACTAGGATGACTTCAATAGATTCCGAGGTCAAAATCGACGAACACCCTCTAGGCAAAAGCTGCATACGTCTGTTCAACTCCCATTGTACTATCACGTACGCATGATGTCTTTAGTATTTCTTGCATATTGTGGCATTTACCCCTTCATAATTGTTCAGTTAAACGATGTTTACTGCTACATTAGTTGATTATGTTTCCCAATTTTATTATTTGCAGTATATCTAAACTATGACAGTTGAAATTATATCTAAATTTTCTGTTCCATAATAAGACAGTAATATCTTTTTCAAATGTCGTTTGGGAAGTTGTGAAGAAATTATGTCTTATGTGATATACTATGGCCATAATTGTTTCTTTTCTTAAGAGCTCATGCACCGTCGTCTCTCTTATCTTCTTGCAGTGGGAAGAACTTCAAGGCGAGTTTGAGCAGCTCGACTACCTCAGGAGAATACTAACGATCACATAGGGGAGAGCTCCAAAATTGTATCATAGTAAGAAACGTGAACAACTCACCAGATGTTCATATATTCAGTTGTGTTGTTCTTGTCTAATGAAAGAATAAGTTCTCTTGCTATTTCAAATTGCGAATGCATCCCATGAAGAAGACTCTTCTCATCGTGGTTTTGCTTTATACAAAGTGAAATAGAGAAGAATAGGTATACGCTACCCATACCGAACATTCATTAAGCCCATATTTGACAACCGTTTTTTTTTCTTTTTTTGGGAAAATGAGTATTGGAATAATGATTTTTTAAAGAAAGAGTAGTTAAAAAGTAGAAAAAAGTTTTTGATTTACGTGCAAAATATTTTATTGTGTGAATGTGTGATTGCAAATAAGTTTTAAGAAAAAAATATTTTATTTTTATGGTTGTGTGCGTGTAACCCCGCAAGCGTACGAGATCGTTGTATAAGTAATAAGATTTGTGAGTTAAAAATATCATTCTCACGAGAAATAATGTCTAATTTGTAATTAGATAGTTACTATTAAATTCGAAGTGCGATAACATCAAAAGAATTGTGATTCTTTTGTTATTTATTCTAATTCTACTCTAAGAAAGCGATAAAAAAATTATTAAATCTAATGTGAATGCTTGTATTGGATTCGTGTATTCTCCTATTTTCATCTATTTCAATTTTCAATAATCATTATATTCAATTCATGCATATTTGACAGCCAATAAAACTAAGATGGTAAATGCTCTTTTTCAAGATATATCAACTTATGACTAACACAAGACGATTCTATTCCTAATCCGAATTCATATGAAAATCATGCATTTAGTTTAGGTTATTAATAAGATTGTGTGTGTGAGAGAGATTATTCTTAATTCTAAGAACACATGTTCACTTTACCGCATTCTAGATTCATTGGGAGTATTCCTACGCTACAACAAATAACTTACTACTTAATTGGTGATCAAACAATAAGTAGTGCAATGGGTATGTAAAATTAATCAAATAATAATATGAAATTCCTAAATTGAAATAAATGAAAATAGGGTCCAAACATTCATAAAATACAATTGAAAAACTTAGTCAAAACATCCTAATTATTAAACTATACAAGAAATAATGAAAAGACATCACCCGGATCGAGAAATAATGAAGAAAGTAGAGATATCCAATTTCTTGGCTTGAATATTGACTTTGGATTAAAGATCTTCAATAAACTTGTATAGTTTGCCTTTTGTTGATGATTGAGCCTTGTTCTTCACCTTGAAAATACATAGAATATGTGATTTTTAGGTCTAATGGGGTTTTTTTCTATTCTGGATGAATTTTTAAGTTATAAATGATGCAAAGATATCATACCAAAATTTTGCCAAAACAAGAAAAAAGGAAAGAAATCTTTCTCCAAATCGGAAAGCTATATGTACGCATGGTATAAATTGTGTACGTATAATAGAATGATTTTAGCTTGCCTATAATGGTATCTCACGTACGCATGGCCTGCAGGCCTATGGGTACGCATAGCTCCACGTTTTGGAGCCAACTGTTCAAATTGGTCCCTGAACTTTTCGCAATGCATTTTTGATCATTTTCACTTGTGATTTCATCACATTAGCTTTCAATTGCCTCCAATTGAGTTTGTAGTAGCTCCACTCTTCATTTTATGTCCCGACATGACTATTGGAATGTTGGAATTTAGTCCCCATAGTTTCAATTTCGTCAATCTTTTCTATTTTTAGCTCGTTCTCTCAAATTCTTCATCAAATCATGATTTTTACATAATAAACACAATATAATACAAATTAGGATATATTTCATAAGAAGTACTACAAAATGTCATTATTTAAAACCCCGAATAAATGTATAAAATACACTTATCAAATCCCCTAAACTTAAACATATATTTGTTCTCAAACAAAACCATAACCTAATTTAAAATAAACACACAAGCATGAAAAAATATTTATTTAGCTAACCCGGCATATTATCTCAGAATCGAAATCGTGACATTAAGTCTAAACACAACTTCGAGATCACAAGACAGAAATCAAAGTCTACTTTTTCGTTGCCAAATTGACGTGTGTGTGAAAAATTAAGCACAACATCATGAATTCACAAGTTGTTTCATTCCCAATCCTGAATGGTCAAATATATCTATCATCACTCGTGAAATTAACATACCCCAAACTTATTCTTTTCACACTATTAAAGTGTATGAGCTAATGTTAAATTTTATACTATCATCACCTCTCTAGTTTAGGTAAATCTCACCAGTTGCAGTTCAACGTATCAATAAATAAAGATTCTCCATCAAATTTGTTTGTTTCAATATCTAAGACTTAATTAGGTTAATAATCTCTTATCAAAAGTCGAATTTTCCTAAATAAGTGTTTGAGACTTAACCAATACATTTGGTGCGTCTTCTGTTTCATGCACCCAATTTTCCTAATTTTCTATATACATTTTTTTCTCAATTTTCTTTTTTTCTTTAACACTGTTTTATTTTATTTTATTTGCAACATTCTTTCCCTTACGCTTTCTAAATGACCTATGCAGCAAGTTTTAGGCTGATAACTTCCAAACCAGTTAACTTTAGGGCAACAGGTTTTAACGCTCTTACATGTTTAATAACTCAAGTTATAAAGGTTACGAAGAGAAATTTTCAAATAAAATGTGTTTTTTTATGCATTGATTAGTGAAATGCCCCCCTCATTAAACACATATTCAAGTAAATCGACCTCTAATTTAAGACTTTTGTCCAATTTCATCATATTGACTTTAGACAATTCGCATTAGATTTTTAATTTCATATATGGAATCCCTATTTATCTCGACATCTTCCTATAATATTGAAATCCCCCCAAACTATTTTAAATTTTGTCTAAAGATGTAAAATATAGTGATTTTGGATTTAGTATCTATGATCCACTATTTTAACCTATCAAATTATGAAAACAACTCATTCCATTTCAATGCATACTCAATTCCCGTGCCCAATATATATCAAACTTCATATGAAAAAGCAAAAAATAACTTAAGCATGCAACATATTCACCATTCATAGATCAATTCATAATTCAATATATTCATTATTTCCAGTTAGGCCAACTAACTCACACAAGCACATAAAAAGAAAATACTCATAAAAAGAAAATATTTTTATTATATTTTTTTTTAATTCACGTGCTCAATATATATCAAATTTCACATGGAAAAGTAAAAATTAATCTAAGCATCCAACTTATTCCCCATTCATAGATCAATTCATAATTCAATATATTCTTCATTACTAGTCAGGCCAACTAACTAGCGCAAGCACGCAAAAAGAAAATATTTTTGGAAGTTTTCAAACTTTTCAAAATTTTCCTAAATTTTCTATATATCTTAAAGCACACAAAAAATAAAACTAGATATTGTCTTTAATGTCTTAAATCCTAAATCCGCATGTAAAAGGGTAAGAAAGAAAAGGAAGAAAATACTCCCTTGAGATGAAGTGATATCCAATGGTTAGCTTGTCATATCGTTCCCATTGTCTCTTTGGTCAATGTTGGTTTAAGTGTTCCACAACGTCATGTTCCTACACAAATCGATCAAATAAAGCATTAAGGCTAAAAAACTCAGAACAAGTGTTATTTAGCTCAAACATCCAGTAAACTAACAAATGTCTAAAAGACCTAAAGGGAAATGGGATGAGGATGATGATAATGATTCCCTAACAAAAATTAGTAACCAATCTACAATATCCTATGACTAGAAAACATAGTAAATAAAAGGGAAGAAAGATCGGGTTGCCTTCAAATAAGTGCATTGTTTTTTAAGTCTTTAGCTTTAACTCGTGTTGTTTCTATGCTCTTCATGGTGGCTTGAAAATAGAGTTCTCAGCCCTACACTTGATGAAGTCATTGCATTTTTTGGGCTTATCCTTGAGTTTCCAAACAATCATGTTTTCATTATTGTCCCTACCAATAATTCCTCCTTCATCTTGCCTGCCTTTATAGCTCTCCCAATGATCTACTNATTATTGTCCCTACCAATAATTCCTCCTTCATCTTGCCTGCCTTTATAGCTCTCCCAATGATCTACTCGTTGGCAATCCTCAAATAAGGATGGTTGTTTGTTTGGATTCTCCATGGTGAAACTCTACTGCTTATCCTCCACCCTTAGGACTATCTCATTCGTATTAAAATCTAGCAAGGCTTGACTTGTAGACAGGAATGGCCATCCTAAGATTATTGGCATCTGATATGCCTATTCTATGTCCAAGATGATGAAATTAGCTAGAAAAATGAACTCCCGTGCCTTAATAAGTATGTCCTCGGCTATTTTGTAGTGTGTTTCAGTTATCGGTCTTCCTGCTAAAGGATAATAGATGCCGCCTTTGATTTCCCAATCCCAATTTCTTGTAAAGAGGCAAAGGAATTAAGTTAATACTTACCTTTAAATTAATTAAACAGTTAATTTCTTGTAAGTTTCCTATGGACCAAAGTAGAATGAAACTCCCTGTATCTTTTAAGTTTATGTGGGATCCTGAACTGGATGATCGCATTGCACTCTTCAGATAGTGCTATGGTTTTATACTCGGGCAACTTCCTCTTTTTAGTCAACATTTCTTTCAAAAACTTAATGTAGTTTGGGATTTGAAGGATAGCGTTAATGAATGAGATGTTGACATGCAACTTGTTGAGGACATCTAGAAATTTCATGAATTATTTATTCAGCTTGGCGTTCTTCAACATTTCAGGAAAAAGGGAACAAGGTATCAGTGAAGTGCCACGAACATTTGCATTAAGCCGTGGACTGTGTAAAACTATATGTTGAACCTTTTCTGTTGTTTCTTCAGAATACTTCACTGGTTCCTTGTCCTTAGTAAGCGTTTAAGTTCTCTTTGTCTCCTTGGTTTTTTGCAGTAATTCTTGGCAACTGAACACCATGTCTAGTAGTGATGGCTTGAACTTGCTTTGCTCCTGGGTGCCATCGAAGTCTTTGAGAGAATGGAATAAGTGGCACATAAGCCTT